TAGGTAAAAAATGTAAATTAAAATTAATGAAAGTAAAATAAAATAATTTATTTTACTTTTATTAATATAAATGTTTTACCTACGTGACTTTACCGAAAAACCTAAGAATAAGCTATCACTTGTGATGACCAGGTCGCTTCTGAAAAAGAGCTTACACACATCAGTGGGGCCTTAGCTGGCAAAATAATTCTTTTTTTAAAAACGTTATAGTTTTAATTGCTTGATAAGGCTATGTATGCGTTGGCAGTGGTGCATAAGCACGTGTACAGTACGATACCCCTCAGCGTAGTCATCAGTAACAGGTTGGCATTATAAGGAGAGAAAGAAATACAGGGTAGCCCAAAGGTCAGGCCAGATTGGGTTATTATATTAATTTTCATACTGGCATGAGAGAAAAAAAACACGTTTAATTTTCGATGTAAAGCTTTCGTGACTGCAGGGATTCATCTTCTTGGTTCTTTCGGTAAAGTCACGTAGAAGGGAAATAATAAAATAAAAAAAAATTTACATAATAAAATAAGATAATTCTCACCTGAGGACGGCTGCTTGCGTTGTGGCCGAAACGTCGTGAGAATTATCTTATTTTATTATGTTTTATTTTAATTATTTTATTATTTTCCTTCTACGTCACTTTACCGAAAGAACCAAGAAGATGAACACGTTTAATATTTAAGTTAATCTTTTATTATATATATGATCATTAATATATATATATTTTTTATCTTCTTCTCGGATGACATTTAAAAGTGGTGGAAAACATTCACTGAATTGAGGGGGGAGCATAATTGACGGATTTTTCAAAGGTTAGACGGCTGTCATCCTTGAAGGGAAAAATTAACCCGTAAAAACTAAGTTTTTCACTATAAATCCTTTATATGCGTGGCGGCTAGAGTCCTCTCGTCCTCTGGCTTGAGATGGCTGCCACCTATGGGTCAGATGATTGCCTGCAACCATTAAGCAATTGGTAATTAAATATTAAAAAATTCCCCCTAAACAGTGTAAAATTTTGTAAAAAAAATTTCACGAAAATTAATTGTCACGCACAACGAGTCGGTGTGCAAAATGTCAGCTCGATTGGATCACGGGAAGTGGGTTAAAAAACGACCGAAAGATTTGCACGGTCGTAAGCACGCAAGCAAGCAAGCACGCAAGCAAGCAAGTGAACTTAATATAAAGGATTTAAAAAAGTCCGACATTCATTCGAAAAGAGAATCCATGCCTCACCCCTGCGTGTTAATTGAAGTCACATTTTAGCATTTGTTAAGTAAATGCAATAACACCTTTGAGATATGCTAAAATAAATATAACAACCGCTATATGCCCTGTCATTAGGGCCGCATAAGCCTATTATATCTATGGTTGTTATTATTGGCGACGTTTCAGGCAATGGCCCTTAATGAGAGCGTGTCAAAGAAGGTTGTCCTGGACGTAGCTATAGCGTCCTCTAGTGGACGTTATTGGGAAAAATTTAAACTCAACTTTCGCTAAACACATACCTGCAGAGGGAGCTGGAAGGAACGTTGGGTTGCTCGGTCAATGGCCTGCAGGGTCAACGGCGGCGTGGTGTATTCCGCAAATATGCCCGACTGTGAGGGCGGGCACAAGCCGGCGTGAGTAGATTAAACGTTGAGTTTTATAAGGGCACCACGGGGTGACCAGCCCCTCCCCACCCAGCCCCACCCCTCCCACCCCCCCACCCAGCCCCACCCTCCCCACCCAGCCTCTCCCCACCCTCCCCACCCAGCCCCTCCCCACCCTCCCCACCCAGCCCCTCCCCACCCAGCCCCACCCCTCCCACCCAGCCCCTCCCCACCCTCCCCACCCAGCCCCTACCCACCCTTCCTCCCTACCCAGCCCCTCCCCACCCTCCCCTCCCCACCCAGCCCCTCCCCACCCAGCCCCTCCCCACCCAGCCCCACCCCTCCCATTTTTGGATGCACGACGGACGGACACAATCATCCCATATGGGCTGGTGGAACCAGGTGGTTCCTACCAGTATAACGTGTGGCAATGGTGATGGTAGTGTGTAAGGCTGTGAGTAGAAGACTGTTGGGTTATTGATTTTGCTACCTTGCCCCAATCTGAATTAGTCGGACTTATATAATTAGTGTAATTATTAGGGGCCGTCCATAAATGACGTCACGCACCTGGGGGGGGGGTCAGACATTTGTGACGATGTGTGACGAGGGGGGTATGGGTTGAGAAATATGACGTCACATCAAAATGCGCAACTTTAAATAAATACAGACAACACGTTCTACTTAATTAAATATACTTTTTAATAAATGTTTTCTCCTACAACATCAGAGTGCAGCGCCATATTAAATACGCACAACAATGACAATAGTTTAAAGCGATTTGAAGCATGTTTTATTCTTTTTTTGGGGGGGGGGGGCAGAGCTTTGTGACGTCATATTTGAAGGGGGGGGGCTGACTTTTTGTGACGTCGTGTGACGAAGGCGGGGGGGGTCAAAAATCGTCCAAAATCGCGTGACGTCATTTATGGACGGCCCCTGACATATTTATATCTATTGACTTTCTTACCATTTTATTTATTTTAAACTCATGTCGGTGTGTGTGTGTTCGCTCTTGCAACTTTCTAACCACCGCACTTATACTGGGACATCTGTGGAAAAAAAATTAACCCGTAAAAACAAAGTTTTTCACTATAAATCCTTTATATGCGTGGCATCGGTTTTATTTTATTATTCATTTCTGTTTTTCTTGAGTAAGAGTTTCATTTTTATCACATTGGTATTTTAAATTAAATATGAAAAAAAAATTCCTAAAAAGTGGAAAATTTGTTAAAAAAAATTTCACGAAAATTAATTGTCACGCACAACGAGTCTGTGTGCAAAATGTCAGCTCGATTGGATCACGGGAATTGGGTTAAAAAACGACCGAAAGATTTGCACGGTCGTAAGCGCACAAGCAAGCAAGTGAACTTAATATAAAGGATTTAAATATTAACCCGTAAAAACAAAGTTTTTCACTCTAAATCCTTTATATGCGTGGCGGCTAGAGACCTCTCGTCCTCTGGCTTGAGATGGCTGCCACCTATGGGTCAGATGATTGCCTGCCACCATTAAGCAATTGGTAATTAAATATAATTAATTTTTTCTAAAAAGTGTAACATTTTGGAAAAAAAATTTCACGAACATAAATTGTCACGCACAACGAGTCTGTGTGCAAAATGTCAGCTCGATTGGATCACGGGAAGTGGGTTAAAAATGACCGAAAGATTTGCACGGTCGTAAGCGCACAAGCAAGCAAGTGAACTTAATATAAAGGATTTAAAAAATCTTTAGAGCTCATCGGATTCCTCCTGCAATACAAATAAATAGTCTGACACTGCGTGGGGTGATGCGTTAAATACGCGCATTATTTTCACAGATTAAGTTGTATGCAGTGTATAATGTAGCGTATGTAACATTTTAACCCTGAAATCAACACTGGATAAAAAAATAAATTGGAGCAATTTCGCCAGATCGGTCCCGGGACCGCCGGATAATATTGAGAAGCAGCCTGGATAATCGATTATGATCAACTGTATATTTTAAAACGCTTCCAATTATTGTTTTTAGTTTAAAACGCAAGGGGGGGGGGGTGGTAGATATAGGATGTGGGATGGATTTTTTATTTTAAAATATCTACGGTCGAGGCACGGGCGGGATTCGAACCCGACGCCTTACCACACGTAAAATGTATAGTCCAATACAGTAAAAGTAAAAAAATGCAATCCCAAAGTGCATTGATTTGTGAGAAAGCGTTTATTTTTAAATCCTTTATATTAAGTTCGCTTGCTTGCTTGCGTGCTTGCTTGCTTGCTTACGACCGTGCAAATCTTTCGGTCGTTTTTTAACCCACTTCCCGTGATCCAATCGAGCTGACATTTTCCACACAGACTCGTTGTGCCAGACAATTATTGTTCGTGAAAAAAAATTCCCAAAATTTAACACTTTTTAGGCAAAAAAAAAATTATTTTACATATATTCAAATAGAACGCATTCATGGCTTTGGCTGAACGTCACAGTGTAAGAGCCCAGAGCGTAACCCCTCCACAGGCCGCGGCGGAGTAGCGCAGTTGGTAGCGCCCTCGCTTCCCATGCCAAAGGTCGCGGGATCGATCCCCGCGTCCTCCACAGGCGAATATATTTTTAAATCCTTTATATTAAGTTCGCTTGCTTGCTTAGGACCGTGCAAATCTTTCGCTCGTTTTTTAACCCACTTCCCGTGATCCAATCGAGCTGACATTTTGCACACAGACTCGTTGTGCGAGACAATTAATGTTCGTGTAAATTTTTTCCAAAAATTTTACACTGTTTAGGGAAAACAAATTAAATATTTAATTACCAATTGCTTAATACTGGCAGACAATCATCTGACCCATAGGTGGCAGCCATCTCAAGCCAGAGGACGAGAGGACTCTAGCCGCCACGCATATAAAGGATTTATAGTGAAAAACTTTGTTTTTACGGGTTATACTTATTATTAGTAAAAAAAAAATCGACGTTACTTTTTGAGTCCCATTTGGCGACCCGTACACTTTGTGTCACGTGACACACACCCTTCCCCCCCCTCTCGGCCAACGCCGTCGGCCGCCATCTTACTCAGGGAGCGACACCCGCCACTCTGGGACGCGGGTCGTAATATCCGGCGTCTCGTGCAAAATTTATATCGATTTTTAAAAAACCGTAAGAAGCCTAACAACAATCGTACGGAAGAACGATTTTATTCATCAATATATATCGAAGAAACAAAAACCCGCACGCCAAATGACAGTCGTTAAAATCATCGCCTCGTGTCGTGCGACTGAGAAAACAAACTTTTTAAAAACACCCCATACTCCTTGCTTCTTTCGGTAAAGTCACGTAGCTCTAAAATAAAATAAAATCACGACGTTTCGATTACAATACAAGTGGGAAATACACAAAAATAACCTTACCCAAGATGGCCGCGCGTGGCTTCACGAGTCCCCCCCCTCCCCCCCTGCGGGTCGCTACGGGACGCGTTGGGGGTCATTTGGCGCGCACGCGTTAAAGGCGGGAAGGCCACACAATCGCTCTTGCCGTCTTTCGTGAGGGGAAAAAAATCGAAACAAATTTGTAAAAAAATTCGTCCAAATCAACAACAACAACAACAACTACTCGCGATGAGGCTCACGCAGCTGCTGCTGATGCGCCACGGGCGCGCGCGGCGCCAGTTGGGTCGCGAGCCGGGCGCCCGCCTCGACCTCCTGCGCCTGCTCGTCACGGGCCTCGTGCGGCACGAGCGCGTGCAGACCACGGGGGCGCGCGCGCGCGAGGCCGCCGCCTACGCCGACAAGGTGGGCGACGACCCCCAACCGTCACTCTCACCCCCTCAACCGTCACCCTCAACTGTCACCCCCAACTGTCACCCTCAACTGTCACCCCTCAACCGTCACCCTCAACCGTCACTCTCAACTAACACCCTCAACCGTCACCCTCAACCGTCACCCTCAACTGTCACCCTCAACTAACACCCTCAACTGTCACCCTCAACTGTCACCCCCAACCGACACCCTCAACTGTCACCCTCAACTGTCACCCTCAACTGTCACCCTCAACCGTCACCCTCAACTGTCACCCTCAACCGACACCCTCAACTGTCACCCTCAACTGCCACCCCCAACCGACACCCTCAACCGTCACCCTCAACCGTCACCCTCAACCGTCACCCTCAACTGTCACCCTCAACTGTCACCCTCAACTGTCACCCCCAACTGTCACCCTCAACCGTCACCCTCAACTGTCACCCTCAACCGACACCCTCAACTGTCACCCTCAACTGCCACCCCCAACCGACACCCTCAACCGTCACCCTCAACTAACACCCTCAACCGTCACCCTCAACCGTCACCCTCAACTGTCACCCTCAACTGTCACCCTCAACTGTCACCCCTCAACCGTCACCCTCAACCGTCACTCTCAACTAACACCCTCAACCGTCACCCTCAACCGTCACCCTCAACTGTCACCCTCAACTAACACCCTCAACTGTCACCCTCAACTGTCACCCCCAACCGACACCCTCAACTGTCACCCTCAACTGTCACCCTCAACTGTCACCCTCAACTGTCACCCTCAACCGTCACCCTCAACTGTCACCCTCAACCGACACCCTCAACTGTCACCCTCAACTGCCACCCCCAACCGACACCCTCAACCGTCACCCTCAACCGTCACCCTCAACCGTCACCCTCAACTGTCACCCTCAACTGTCACCCTCAACTGTCACCCCCAACTGTCACCCTCAACCGTCACCCTCAACTGTCACCCTCAACCGACACCCTCAACTGTCACCCTCAACTGCCACCCCCAACCGACACCCTCAACCGTCACCCTCAACCGTCACCCTCAACTGTCACCCCCAACCGACACCCTCAACTGTCACCCTCAACTGTCACCCTCAACTGTCACCCTCAACTGTCACCCCCAACCGACACCCTCAACTGTCACCCTCAACTGTCACCCTCAACTGCCACCCCCAACCGACACCCTCAACTGTCACCCTCAACTGTCACCCTCAACTGTCACCCCCAACCGACACCCTCAACTGTCACCCTCAACTGTCACCCTCAACTGTCACCCTCAACTGTCACCCTCAACCGACACCCTCAACTGTCACCCTCAACTGTCACGCTCAACTGTCACCCTCAACTGTCACCCTCAACTGTCACCCTCAACTGTCACCCTCAACTGTCACGCTCAACTGTCACCCTCAACTAACACCCTCAACTGTCACCCTCAACTGTCACCCCCAACCGACACCCTCAACTGTCACCCTCAACTGTCACCCTCAACTGTCACCCTCAACTGTCACCCTCAACTGTCACCCTCAACTAACACCCTCAACTGTCACCCTCAACTGTCACCCCCAACCGACACCCTCAACTGTCACCCTCAACTGTCACCCTCAACTGTCACCCTCAACTGTCACCCCCAACCGACACCCTCAACCGTCACCCTCAACCGTCACCCTCAACTGTCACCCTCAACTGTCACCCCCAACCGACACCCTCAACTGTCACCCTCAACTGTCACCCTCAATTGTCACCCCCAACCGACACCCTCAACTGTCACCCTCAACTGTCACCCTCAACTGTCACCCTCAACTGTCACCCCCAACCGACACCCTCAACTGTCACCCTCAACTGTCACCCTCAACTAATACCCTCAACTGTCACCCTCAACTGTCCCCCTCAACTGTCACCCTCAACTGTCACCCTCAACTGTCACCCTCAAATAACACCCTTAACTGTCACACTCAACCGTCACCCTCAACCGTCACACTCAACTAACACCCTCAACTGTCACCCTCAACCGTCACCCTCAACCGTCACTCTCAACTAACACCCTCAACTGTCACCCTCAACTGTCACCCCTCAACCGTCACCCTCAACCGTCACACTCAACTAACACCCTCAACTGTCACCCTCAACCGTCACCCTCAACTAACACCCTCAACCGTCACACTCAACCGTCACCGTCACCCTCAACCGTCACCCTCAACCGTCACCCTCAACTGTCACTCTCAACCGTCACCCTCACCCTCAACCGTCACCCTCACCCTCAACCGTCACCCCCGCCCTCATTGTCACCCCCCCCCCGCCCTCTGCTCGGCACGGGCCTCGTGCGGCACGAGCGCGTGCAGACCACGGGGGGGCGCGCGAGGCCGCCGCCTACGCCGACAAGGTGGGCGACGACCCCCAACCGTCAACCGCCACCCCTCAACTGTCACCCCTCAACCGTCACCCTCAACCGTCACTCTCAACTAACACCCTCAACTAACACCCTCAACCGTCACCCTCAACTGTCACCCTCAACCGTCAACCTCAACTGTCACCCTCAACAGTCACCCTCAACTAACACTCTCAACTGTCACCCACAACTGTCACCCTCAACCGTCACCCTCAACTGTCACCCTCAACTAAAACCCTCAACTAAAACCCTCAACTGTCACCCCCAACCGACACCCTCAACTGTCACCCTCAACCGTCACCCTCAACCGTCACCCTCACCCACAACTGTCACCCTCAACCGTCACCCTCAACCGTCACCCTCAACTAACACCCTCAACTGTCACCCTCAACCGTCACCCTCAACCGTCACCCTCACCCACAACTGTCACTCTCAACCGTCACCCTCAACCGTCACCCTCAACTAACACCCTCAACTGTCACCCTCAACCGTCACCCTCAACCGTCACCCTCACCCACAACTGTCACCCTCAACTGTCACTCTCAACCGTCACCCTCAACCGTCACCCTCAACTAACACCCTCAACTGTCACCCTCAACCGTCACCCTCAACCGTCACCCTCAACCGTCACACTCGACTAACACCCTCAACTGTCACCCTCAACCGTCACCCTCAACCGTCACCCTCAACCGTCACACTCGACTAACACCCTCAACTGTCACCCTCAACCGTCACCCTCAACCGTCACCCTCAATCGTCACCCCCAACCGTCACCCTCAACCGTCACCCTCAACCGTCACCCTCACCCACAACCGTCACCCTCAACCGTCACCCTCAACCGTCACCCTCAACCGTCACCCTCAACCGTCACCCCCAACCGTCACCCTCAACCGTCACCCTCAACCATCACCCTCAACCGTCACCCTCAACCGTCACCCTCAACCGTCACCCTCAACCGTCACCCTCAACCGTCACCCTCAACCGTCACCCTCAACCGTCACCCTCAACCGTCACCCTCAACCGTCACCCTCAACCGTCACCCTCAACCGTCACCCTCAACCGTCACCCCCAACCGTCACCCTCAACCGTCACCCTCAACCGTCACCCTCACCCACAACCGTCACCCTCAACCGTCACCCTCAACCGTCACCCTCAACCGTCACCCCCAACCGTCACCCTCAACCGTCACCCTCAACCGTCACCCTCAACCGTCACCCTCAACCGTCACCCTCAACCGTCACCCTCAACCGTCACCCTCAACCGTCACCCTCAACCGTCACCCTCAACCGTCACCCTCAACCGTCACCCCTCAACCGTCACCCCCAACCGTCACCCTCAACCGTCACCCCCAACCGTCACCCTCAACCGTCACCCCCAACCGTCACCCCCAACCGTCACCCTCAACTGTCACCCCCAACCGTCACCCCCAACCGTCACCCTCAACTGTCACCCTCAACTGTCACCCTCAACCGTCAACCTCAACTGTCACCCTCAACAGTCACCCTCAACTAACACTCTCAACTGTCACCCACAACTGTCACCCTCAACCGTCACCCTCAACTGTCACCCTCAACTGTCACCCGCAACTAAAACCCTCAACTGTCACCCTCAACTGTCACCCTCAACCGTCACCCTCAACCGTCACACTCAACTAACACCCACAACCGTCACCCTCAACCGTCACCCTCAACTAACACCCTCAACTGTCACCCTCAACCGTCACCCTCAACCGTCACCCTCAACTGTCACCCTCAACTAACACCCTCAACTAACACCCTCAACCGTCACCCTCAACCGTCACGCTCACCCTCAACTGTCACCCTCAACTAACACCCTCAACTGTCACCCTCAACCGTCACCCTCAACCGTCACTCTAAACCGTCACCCCCAAACGTCACCCTCAACCGTCACCCTCAACCGTCACCCCCAACCGTCACCCTCAACCGTCACCCTCAACCGTCACCCCCAACCGTCACCCTCAACCGTCACCCCCAACCGTCACCCCCAACCCTCACCCACAACTGTCACCCTCAAACGTCACCCTCAACCGTCACCCCCAACCGTCACACTCACCCACAACTGTCACTCTCAACCGTCACCCCCAACCGTCACCCTCAACCGTCACTCTCAACTAACACCCTCAACCGTCACCCTCAACTAACACCCTCAACTGTCACCCTCAACTGTCACCCCTCAACCGTCACTCTCAACTGTCACCCTCAACCGTCACCCTCAACCGTCACCCTCAACCGTCACCCCCAACCGTCACCCTCAACCGTCACTCTCAACTAACACCCTCAACCCTCACCCACAACTGTCACCCTCAACCGTCACCCTCAACCGTCACCCCCAACCCTCACCCACAACTGTCACCCACAACTGTCACTCTCAACCGTCACCCCCAACCGTCACCCTCAACCGTCACTCTCAACTAACACCCTCAACCGTCACCCTCAACCGTCACCCTCACCCACAACTGTCACCCTCAACTGTCACTCTCAACCGTCACCCTCAACCGTCACCCTCAACTAACACCCTCAACTGTCACCCTCAACCGTCACCCTCAACCGTCACCCTCACCCACAACTGTCACCCTCAACTGTCA